ATATATATATATATATATATATATGTGTGTGTGTGTGTGTGTGTGTGTGTGTGTGTGTGTGTGTATATATATATGACAGATTTTTTTTAAGCATATCACCCCAAGCAAGGCGGGAAGCCACTAGGACGCAAGGGGTTACAGAAAATTTAGAGCAAGATCAGATAGGAGTGATAGAAGAAAGGATGAGGGTAGTGGATAGATCAAGGCAACTGGAGATGTCGATTGACATTACACTTGAATAGCTGGAGATCATAGCTCACAGGGAAACAGGAATAGGGAAGGGAGTTCCACAGGCGAGAGGTGCGAGACATGAAGCTATTAGAGTAGAAGAGACGGCTACATTTAGGAGTTTCGACAGTGAAAGGGTGAGAGCGGGATGCCAGCCTCGTAAGGCGCTGGAACTCATGACGTCTGGGAACCAGCGAATGCAGCTCCTCGGAGCAATTTCCATGAAAGTATTTGTAGAACAGACAGAGGGAGGCGACGGCGCGTCTGTGAGAAAGTGACGAGACGCCAGGGCAGGGCCAACCATATTGCATATCCGCCTCTGGAGCCTATCAAGAACCTCGAGGCAAACAGAAGGGGCGCCAGACCATATATGGCAGCAATACTCCATGCAAGGGCGAATTGTTGATTTGTAGATCTGGAGGATCGTCTCCGAGGAGAAAAATTTCCTGGCGCGGCACAGGGAGCCAACTTTCCTTGCGGTGGACGAGGCAATTGACTCAATGTATTTATTCCATCTCAGGTCAGCAGTCAACGTGAGACCGAAAAGCTGCAGCAGAGAGTTGCTCTCGAGAAGTTGAGTGTCAGACATTCTAATGGAGGGAAGGGAAGGGAAGGATCTCTGTGGTGATTAATAGAGAGCAGTTTTGTCTTAGAAGCGTTGAAGTTGACCAGCCAATTCATGCCCCAGTTCACAATCGATTGGAGGTCATTTTCGAGACGCACGGCCAGGTGAGTTTTGTCAGCGTGACTAGATTTGTTTTTGAGGCAGGAATAAATTGTGGTGTCATCCGCGTAGATGCCAACTTGGGAAGTTATGGCGTCAGGAAGGTCATTTATGTAGATAAGGAATAGAGTGGGGCCTAGGATGGAGCTTTGAGGAACACCTGCGTTCGTGGGATAGGAACTGGATGAGAATCCGTTGAGAACGACCTTCAATTCACGGTTTGACAGGAATGATTGTATTAGGTTATATAATCGACCCCAAATGCCATAACCCTGGAGCTTGCGAAGAAGGCCGGCATGCCAAACCCTATCAAATGCTTTGGAGATGTCTAGTGCCACGGCTCGGACTTCCCCGTTATTTTAAAGAGCTCGGTAGACTGTTTCAGTTATGGCTGTGAGCACATCGGCTGTAGATCGAGCAAAGCGGAAACCATATTGCTTGACTGAGAGCAGATTATGGGATGTGAGGTGGTTAACCACCCCGGTATTGATTAGGGCTTCGAAGACTTTGCCGAAGAGGGGATGGAGACTGATAGGACGGTAGTTGGAAGAGTCAGAGGGGTCGCCGGAGTTCTTGAAGACAGGAACGATCGAAGAGGACTTCCAGCAGTCAGGAAAACAAGATTCCTTGAGGCAGTAGTTGTATAGTTTCGAAAGGGCGGGCGACAGTTCAGGCGCGCATTTCTTCAAGACAATGGCTGGTATCCCGTCTCCACCACAAGCATTGTTGGGGTCTAAATTGGAGATAACGCCCAGTACCAAAGATGGGGTTATGTTCAACCCACTCAATATTGCCTCAGTTCTAAGAGGGGAGTCGTGCATGGGTACAACGGAAGAGTCGAGCGTCGAGTTGAATGAACATTTCTGGGCAAAGCATTCAGCCTTCTCGGTAAAGGAGGTCAGGACTTCGAACTGGTTGAATGAAGGAGGTATAGAGGGTTTGCAATTGTTCAATACGCTCTTGCAGAGACGCCAATAATCTTTGGAGCCAAATTTGCGAGATGTAATACGTTCCTTCATCCGAGCCGCAAATAGTGACTTAGCATCGTTGAGGACACGCTTACATTCGTTACGGGCGGAGGCAAAGAGACGTCTATTGCAGTCAGACATGTCGCTACGGAATAGGTGGAAGTAGTGGTTCCTATGGGCGACGGCGGCTGAGCAAGTAGCGGAGAACCAGGGGGAGGAGCGCGACTTGACCCTATATTTCCTTGATGGGATGAAAGCGTCGATTCCAGTTTTAACCCAGGAAGAGACCTCAGAAGCGCATTCTTGGACGGGGAGCTTAAAGACTCCATCCCAGAGGACATCGCGGAGGAAATCACGGAACGCGTCCCAGTCAGCTCGTTGATAGTAGAACGAAGTTCTAGTGGTAGGAGGTTCTTTATAGGGGGCGGAGTTGAAGGAGATGTTAACTGATACTACTGCATGATCAGAGTTACCAAGAGGGCAGAGTTGCGAGGCGCTGCAGGATTCGGGGATGGAGGTAAAGCACAGGTCGAGAAGAGAGGCTTTACCTTCCCGGTTGAAGGCAAAACGAATGGGGAAGTTAACTATCTGTATGAGGCAATGGGAGATTGAAAAATTGAGCGTTTGAATGCCTGCGTGGTCAGTAGTCGCATTCTTAAGCCACAAGGTGTGATGGGCGTTAAAGTCACCAAACACAAAAATGTGAGCAAACGGGTGGAGGGAGAGAGATACGCATATACATCATCATGATGATCCTTCAACCGTTCTATGGTTGATCGGAACTCCATTGACAATCCCTTTCCACAGTGTTCGGCCCCCATATATAGAGAGGCAGACATATAAATATTTATATATGTTATCTCAAAAAAAATCTTACAGATCAAAAATAGATTTTAGTATTATATTTGTTAAACAATCGTTATCATTATTTTATTAGTTTTATTCTATCATGATGCTGTTACTTTCTATTTCTTCACCTGGGACCGATACAGCAATTGTTGCAACGTTAAAATCGGAAGGATTAAATGATACAGCACAGATGTATTTTCCTCCTTTTAACTGCAGACAATATCGTGATCGAAATGTTTCACGCGACATCCATGAAGGACTGGTACACGTGGTTTCGTGTAGCAGCATGGTGAGGTCAACCATAGTTGTCACTCCCTTGAGCTACTGGACTGTAAAAGAAATGATTGAGAGTTGAGGATGGGTAGCAGATCCAATTGCTTTGAATAGACCCTTCGCTACAATGTCAAATGTTCGTCTATTCTTCTTTACAAATAGCTAATTCTGTATATCTCTTTTCGTGCTCATTAATCTGGAAGGTGAAGAGTATATCAGCCTAGAGTAGTGTAATAAAATGCAATGTAATAAGACGATGCAGTAAAAGTAGAAATGAAACAATAATAGACCCCTTTATTGCCTTAAATGCTTTAATAAAAAAAAAACCATTAGCCAAAGGACCGTTACTGTAATCATTTACTCATATCTTCTATAGGTCGTGTTCCTTTAAGACATTGGTGATCAGGTCTCTCCACAATTTCCTGTCCTTTGTAGCTCTTCGTCATTTTTGTCATTTTGCTGTTTACTGATTTATTGTGTCTTTTTTTTTCCTTCTTATCTATTGACGTCGTCCATGTTTACTGCTGTACCAGGTCACGTGACAATATTTATGTATTACTTTTATGATGTCTTCCTTCAAAGCGTGTGTCGTATGTGTCACGTATTGAACGAGCGTCAAAAGTGGATATTTGCGCCGTCTGGTAGTCGGATACGAAAGTGACGTTTAGAAGATGATGCACTTTTCTTAAGCAGGACAAACAAAACAAGAGATTGCATAAACACACACTTTTTCTTCTCTTCCTTCTCATTCTTTTATTTTCTCTTTTCTGTACTCTGACGCTACCTTTCTCTCTCTCTCTCTCTCTCTCTCTCTCTCACACACACACACACACAGTTGTGTGTGTGTAAATGTATTTCTCTTTCTTTCTCTTTGTTTTTCAGTTACTTTTTTCTTTCTTTATTATTCATCTTGTCACTTCTCTCATATTTTTCATTACACAATTTGTCCTTTCTTTTCTTTTTATTTTCTTCACTATTGCTCAGCCAAAACAAGCCCAAATTCCACTCGAGGTGGAAGAGCTACTCAATCAGTTTGAATTATTGACTCAGAAGTGTAGCTAAAAATGTAAATTATAAAGATCTGAAAGACAGATAATAGTTGACTCTACATTGAAAATGATAAGATGGCAGTGATCGGGTGCCTGGCCCACAAAGCAGCAGTTCTTGTGAAGAAATTTTTCGAATGGAACTTCCTTCAAACCAATGGAATACAAAGGGAATGACAATGATTCGATTCCGTGTACATAGCAAAGAATCTTTTATTTGTGATGGTCTAAACTGTTGGTACTAAAGAATGTGGGTCGTCTGAATATCGTCTATGGAAATAGAGATAGATTAGCGATAAGCTTACGATAATTCATCTGTGGCAAACAGGCTCTAGAGTGGCAAATAATTAATCACCCACAAGACTACTGAGATGTTTTCTAAGTCTGAGATAAGATGACTGGTCAGTTCTAGGCCAAATATAACAGCAAGACACCATTTTTGGGTCCAATCTGACACTTGTTCCCTCTCTTAACATAATTCCTTGAAGAGAAAGGAAGATTGTTGTGAATAGTATATTTTCCTTGTTTTTTGTTTTTTTTTTTTTTTTTCTTCCTATTAATCTTCGCGTTTTCGTTCTACCTATGTTTTCTTTATCTTTGAAGAATTTCTTCTAATTCCTTTCCCATCATTCTTCACTTAATTCTTCCGTCTGATTTCATCTTTCTCTCATTTTTCTTCTTTCTCCAATTTTACGTTAAGCGTTATTCTCTACTTTCACTTTCACTTCGCTATTTTCTTCCTTCCCTTTTTGAACAAGTCCATCGTTTCGCTTTTATTGCTTCTATTTAATCTGCTCTGTCTGTTTTTCTTCCTTCTACACATTTGCCCAGGTAAAGGCATGATTCTATATTATTATTATTATTATTATTATTATTATTATTATGTTTTATACAATTGCCATTTGGAAAGATATGTACCCATCCTTTTTCTTCTTCACCTTATTTTCTCAACCTTTTCCATCTCCTCTCCTTCTTTCTATCCTTCTTTTCCTCTACCCTTGGGAAACACATGATTACATTTCTTCTGTCCCTCACCCTACTCTTTGTTTTTCTGCTCCTCCTGTCTCTCCTCTTCTGTGTTTGTATTCTTTTTGTTTTTGTTGTTGCTGCTGTTGTTTTTATTATTATTATTATTATTATTATTATTATTATTATTATTATTATTATTCTGTTTTGTTCAATTTCCCTTTGGAAAGACATATCCACCTTTTCTCTTCTTCATCATCCGTCTCCTCCTCCTTCTCCTCCTCCTCTTCCAACTTCTTCTTCAAAGAAATTCTCCCTGGTTCATTAGTTTCTCACCTTTCTTTTGTACATGAAATATTACCAGTTTTTATTACATAATCTAGGAATTACAAAAAAACTAACTGAAAGTAAGATTAAAGAAATTAATATATAATAAGTGACAGGGTTTCATTTAATAAATTTAAACAACAATGACTGCCTACATAGCTAATATATATATATATATGTGTGTGTGTGTGTGTGTGTGTGTAAGCAAATATATGGATACAGATCCGACAGTATGAAGAAAAATATAGAGAAAAAAAAATACCGCATAATTGCATATTAAGATTTTTGTTTGTTTTTTTTTCTGTATATTTTTCTTCATATATATATATATATATATATATATATATATATATATATATATATATATATATATATAAAGATCGTGGCGTGTCAAGCATTCTGTTAGAATAAAGTAACTCTAGTGTTAGATTTTATTACCAGTAGCCAGTGATCTACGTATCCAAATCGGCAAGACAGCTGTCGAATTAAGACAGGCGTTCGAAGATCAGGAACGTGAATTCGCATTTTTTCGATGGTTATATTTTTTATCCCCATCTCCGCTGCTTACTGCCGATCATAACACGATGATCCTTATTTTGCTATGAACGCAACCGAAATTAAGACAAAAGAATTACTAATGATGACTATTTGTATAGAAAATTATAGACTAACTGTATAAAAATTTATTAATTATGACTATTTGTAAAGACCCAAATTTGGATGATCAAGAAATTCCACGACTTTCGATAGGCAAATATATATATATATATATATATATATATATATATATATATATATATATATATATATATATATATATATATATATATATATATGTTTATACATTCTTTTTTTAGATAAACATGAAAATATCTTAAAATAATTGTTTGACTTTGTCCATTTCTTATATATATATATATATATATATATATATATATATATATATATATATATATATATACATACTGCTGTCGATATAAGTAAATATATATAGTTTCTCGTTTGTGAAACGCTCTTCCTGTACAATGCTTTCCTGCCAACTTTAATCTGCCAAAAATTAAATACAATGTTAATCGCTATCCTCTGCTCTCCTAAATACTCTTTTCTCTTACCAATTATTATTAATGTTTCTGTTCATAATTCTTCCACATCCTGTATCCCAGTTGTGTCGCAGTAGGATCACTGCCTTACATGGGGTGATATCGATTTAAAAAAAAAAGTTTTAAGATATGTATAACTACAAAAGAAAACTGTGCGTAAAGGAATCTGGGATCATAGGATAAATGGCCTGAAATATTTTAGATGTTTCTGTAAATAATTGGTTAACACGCGACCAATTCGCGAAAATGCGTAGAGACTAAATGTTTATAAAGTATTCTAAAAGGTTATTAAATATCAAATATACATTTAACATCTTTGAAATTGCCAAAAATATATTTGAAGAATAGAAAAAAAAATATTGTAACTATCAAGTACCGAGCGGGGCAGGTCCAAATTGTTGAGCTGGATATCTGAAAATGTTGGTTGATGATAACTAATTAGGGGAATTATTTATAGTTCGTCTAACAAAGAATGTGCTGATTCAACGCGGAAAATGAAATAGTTGATTCGATTTTCCGCGCCAAATACAAAACTTGACCTAGTCATTTTCCGTTCACTTACGCACACTCAAATGCCCTTGAGAAATACATTAATACATATTTTCTCCACAAAGATATACATGCCATAGCAAGAGAGATTAAGCTCCCCTGCTTTGTGTCCATGCTCGGCGTAGTATCTCCTGTTAGGGGTCTCAGCTATGGGCAAATACTGAACTCCAAAACAAAAAACAAAACACTTAAAGCATGAAAATACATTTTATAGTAAAAATACCTGCAATACATGTGTATATAGAAAAATTACTAACAAATATTTATAGTAAAATGAACAGCAATACATTTTTTTAAGGAAAATGACCAGAAATAAATTTTATTGCAAAATTAAACGACAATATATTTAATTGAAGCCATAAAATTGTGTTCGAGATATTTAGGTTTCAAAAATGGGTTATTAAATAACCCATAGAAGTGTTGATATGCCGCGAAACAAAATCAACTAAACAACCAACATGGAAGAAGTTTTTTATGGCATTAATCCATATAATATCCAAAAATTTCTTAAAGAAATCAAACTGTATTTCATAATAAAACTTAGCAAACCTACAACATAAATCACATATCACCGCCTCTAGTAATTATGTTCATGAAATCACGTATATGCCCAAAAGATGCGCATCATTTACCATGTATTCAATTGCGAAAGCAGAATAAAATATATCATATTTTTATTACTTCAAAACTCTCAAGACAATTATATTTTGACATAAAATGACCCATAAGGAGTTGATATACTGTTAAACAAATAACATTTTTAAAAATCTTGTCATGGGGGGTAATCAGTCTAAGAGAATGAGTTTTGGATTCTGAATAATAAATAAGGCAACATGGAATCACTCCACTATCTTTCCCAAATAAGCATGACAATTCACAGTTAATTTTTTTAAGCATTTCATTCCAAGCAAGGTGGGAGTGTCACTAGCACGCAAGGGGTTACATAGAGTGGGAGCACGAGTAAAGAGAGGTGTTTGAAGAAAGGATATTGAGGAGGGCGGAGATCGGGATCATGGCATCAGAAGGTCTCGATTGACATTGTATTTGAATATGAAGCAAGTTGGCGGAAGGGAGTTCCACGGTCGGGAAGTGCGAGCGAAGTAGTTACTGGAGTAGAAAAGGCGGCTACATTTAACTGTTTCAACAGTGAAAGCGAGATGCTAACCTAGTAGCAAGCTTAAATTCATGCAGTCGGTGTACCAGTGAAAGTAGCTCGTCATAGCAGTTGTCATGAAAATATTTACAGAAAACAGAGGGAAGCCACAGCACGTGTATGAGAAAATGACTGTAGACGAAATGCCAGAAAAGGACCTATTACATTGAATATCTGTCTCTGTAATTTGTCCAGAGCCCCGAGATGAACAGCGGAAGCAACAGACCATATATGGCAACAGTATTCGATGCAAGGACACATGGTAGAAGGGTAGAAAGAAAAAATATTGATTTAATGGATTTTATGGCTTATCAAGCCTTTGTAGGTTGTTTAAAATCGAAACATACTTTGGATTGGAAGTCCTTTCTTTGTAAGTAAATATTGCATTAAAAATTTTTTTCTTGGAATTACAAAGATTTTTTTTTAGATACAACTGCTACTTTTTAACCCATAACTAGGGGCAGGGGATGACTTCATACCTTTCCTAAGTGTATTTGCGCGTAAGTGAATGTAACAAACCCGACTGGAATTCGAACCCAGTTCTCCAAGGTCTCATTCCGCTATCCGTTATATTACACACACACCGTAATAAAGCAAACGGAATCAATGAAGAGACATGATCGCCTACGTCATGAAGTGTGACGTCATTTTTTAAAGTGTCTCCTGCATGTTACAGTTTTTGTCTTTTCTCTCAAGGTCTTTCTCCCACCTTCTTTCTCGGTTGCTCCATTTTGCTTTACCTTTACATCTCTTTCTGTGATATTTTTTTCTTTACATCGTGTTTCATTATCTTCTATTTTTCTTCTCCTATTCCTATTCCTTACGTTGGTTTATTCCTTCATACACGCTGACATTTAGTTACTGAGTGGGTCAAATTCCGGAGACGATACTTCCATGACCACCTATCGTCCTAACTTCTTCAAGTCCAGCGTTAAACTTTATATATCCTAGATATCTTCATCTTATGCTCTTCTTGGTTCCCCACTTTACGCCTTTACAAAAATCGTATTAAATAGCCTTCTTTCTATTTATATTAGGAAACAATAGTAAAAAAAAAATGTCTTTATTTTATCTTTATCTTTTTCTATATGACACTTTCTTTTATGTTCCGTTCTTCATTAATATTATTAATGGTTTATTTCTTTAGAAGCTTTTTATCATTCTTTCTTTCAGTTTTTCTTCTCATCCATCCCACATATGTCCTTTCCCTTTCACTTATAGCTCTTTCTTTCTGTTTTCCTTCTTTCAATTTTTTTTCATTTCTTTCTCGTTTCAAAACCCTTTCTATAGTTTGTTTCATTCATTTTTTCTTTCTTTCTTCTTTCTTTTTTCTTTTATTCTCCTTCTCTGAGTTTATTGGTTATTCTTCCTTTCTTGTTTTTTTTTTCTTTTACATAATATCCCCTCATTATTTTGTCTTTGCATTTCGTACACTTCTTTCTTTTTTTCTCCATATTTATTTCTTCATCCATCTTGCTTTACTCCGCCATTTTACAATTTGTATCCATCTTTCGTCATTCTCCCCCTTTTTTCTTTTCTTCCTTCTCCATTCCCTCGTCTGCCAAATTTCTTCATCTTTCCATCTTTCTTTTTCATCCAACTTTCTTTTTAACACCAACTTTCTTTCTTCTTTCATCGACTTCCAGTTCATTTCTTCTTTGCTTGCTCTTTTCTTCTTTCTCTTTTCATCCACGTTCCTTTCTTTCTTACTCTCTTTCTTTCTTTCTTTCTTTCTTTCTTTCTTTCTTTCTTTCTTTCTTTCTATCCGTATTCTTCCGTATTTCCTTCTTTCTATTTTTATCCATATCCCATTATTTCTTTCTTTGTTACTTTGTATATTTATTCTGTCGTTATTGATTGAATCCTTTGACTTCGCTTTCTTTTCTTCTTAGTTTGCCCCTTTCCTACCTTTCTACTTTCATCCATGTTCCGTTTTCTCTTTTATTCTTTCTGTATTTTCTTTTTCATTTTTACTTCTTTCGTATTCTATTTCATTCTCAAAATAACGTCTCTTATCGTTCGTTTAACTTTGTTTTCATTTTTGTCTCCCTCTCTCTATTTCTATCTCTCTCCCTCTCTTTCACTCGCTCTAAAGATGATCTTTATTTGCTTGGTCTCTCAGTCAAAATTTCATTTTTACTTCTTCCTTTCATCTTCTTTGTCCTCTACCGCCAAATCTCTGCGCATCATTTATTTTCTTTTATACCGAGACAATCAATATTCCGAACATGTTTTTGTTTTCATCTATTTCTACAAAATTCTTTTATGTTGACTCAATTTTTTTTTTTCCAATACGATCATTTTTTTTTCTTTTACCTTATTTTTGTCGATGAAGAAAAAAATCCTGTCTCTCTTTATGTTCCGGTATCCAATTCCAACATTCTATTTAAAAAAAAAAAAAAAAGAATAAATTTGTTTTTTCTTGAAGGAGAAAAAACCATTAAAGCATATATTATTCTCTAGAAAACTATGAAAAAAAATCATTTTTTTATCCTTTTAAGATGGAGAAATAAAAGTAAAGCTTGAATTTAAAACTCAAACATATTAAGAAATATCTATTTGATAAAGTCAATTCTGAAAACATGCCAATCTGTGTACGCCGATATTATTTGAGATGAGCAATAAATGGAAGAAGAAAAAAATCCAAGATTTTTGCATAATTCTTTAGTACGGGTGTTTAGTACAAGGAATTTCATATCCCTGTATGTGTATACATTTCTTTTTATCAGAGAGAAGTAAAAGAAAGAAAACATCTCTAAGCAAAGCATAGTTTCTACTCATTAATGCAATGCAAGTCACACAGATTTCAAAAGATATTATCGCCTACAGCAGGATTTAGTTCTCCTTGAAATGATGCCATCCTCAGACAGATTAAGCTCTCGTGAGAATCGTACCGGTTAACAAAATCTAATATGGGAAAAGTTCACAGTCTTACTTACAATCTGATGGCGAAATCTTTGAATCATCGATAATTTCCAGTTGTTTATATGCTTTAGATTGCGTGTGATGGACACATACGCTTTCAAATCAAATTGAAGCATTACAAAAATATATGATACACATATTATAAGAGGAGAGACAAAGTTATAGTAACTAATATAAGAGATTTAAGGAATTTGCCAGTATCTTCCGTAATAAAACCATGAATCTATTTTGACACATTAAATGATCGAGAAAATAACCCGTTAAATTAACACTTAAGGGAAAGTTGCCAAGAAAAAAACGTAGAGGTAAACCTGTTAAGATTAAGGTGTTTGTTCTATGCTAGAAGTTGCTTCTCTTGGACTTCTCGCTTGGGGACATCTCTTTCGGCTTCTTGCTTTCCAGTCAACATTGATCTTCAAGCATTTAAATGCTATATAGGTCACCATTTCTTGTCTCCTTAATTAATTTTGTTTTATTAGCGTCACTCATTAATAATGTTTTTTTGTTTTGTTTTGTTTTTGTTTTTTTTTGTTTTTGTTCTTTCACACTCCCTTGCGTCTTAGTGGCTTTATCGCTTTGCTTTGGGTGAAGGGATCAAATCAAAATATGGTTACCATCTAATAAGGGGGAGACGCTAAATAAATATAATAGTAAGAAATGCCGAGAAAGAATTAATGCCATTTCTTCATCTTCCACTCACCAAAACAACAAATAATTTTGAAATTAGACACCTGCGGTATTGAAGTTAACTGACACACTGAGTCCCTGTATTTGTAGATTATTTTTATAATAATTTTCATCTAATGCAAGACCTAAGAGCCAATCAAGGTAGAGAGTCACTGTGTGGTTTCATAGGATCGTCGGAAAAGGCAAGAAGCAAACTTCATAAGGGTAAAAGATAACTGTTCCCCCTAGACTTGAAGAGGTCAAGAATATAGCGATTGTGAAAATATCCTACATGGTGTCTGTTCAATAAGGCAATAGTACTTGGGAATAAGCGGTCCGAGTGAAACTTACTTCTTATTAATGAGATGCAAAAGGAAAGATTATGATTCTTCATTGTGTATGCAGCCTTGCAAACGTCGGGGCTGGTGGTGCCATACGATGTAGCTCATATGATATGGAAATATCAGGAGGGGTCAGACATTTATTGGAGCGGTAAAATGAACTGACCAATTTTACAGAATTCTTCGCAATATATCGTATAAATGAATTCCACTTCTAGTCTTGGGAGAGCTTGAGTCCCAGTAAACGTTAAAGGCAAGGCGCATCCCTGAGAGAACAAACATCCATCATGATAGGCGAAAGTTCAAATTAGTTATATTTTGGTGAAAGCAATATAAATGCCATCGTCTATTAGCATCAGTAGTCAACCGTTGAGTCTAGACAGGGAAGGAGAAATACAATCTAGAAAGAAAAATTCGATACCGTCGCTTTATTAAAGATTATAACGGTCTTGATGATATATGAGACAATATTACATATCATATCATATATGCGCTCATGTTTATCATGTAATAAGGATTGAGAAAATACAGATAGCTAATGAAAATAAAAACCGTTGATCAAATTTCAGTTGAATTAATAGATCAGCCTTCCAGAGATTAAACTAGAAATGGTTAAATTTATTCATTCTCTGTCTCAAGAGAATCTTTGCTACAAAAGGCTAAACTGTAATGGAATAGCTTCGTGGCAAATATTGAAAATGTTTCTCTTACAAAGACTTTCCTATTCGGGGAACTAACGTCTGGGCAACAGAGATGTGAGGGTAAAAACATAAAATGATTCTCTTAAGAAAATGACAGTCACTGTTGCGTGATTCAACTACCAAATAACAGGTAGACATAAAGCCTTAAGGACTATTAAGAACTATTTATGAAAAGAAGTATAATAAAATGGAAGGCTTTCTTGATAGGGTCGTCATACATCTGTTAAACTTTCTATCACCGTGGATGGAGAGAAGCATCCCTACCCTGTCTAGGCCTCATCAGACACGTCTGGATCTTTAACAGACGAGTAGAATCTAACCCTATTTTCGTTCTAATAATAGTGTTAAAAATATATACCATAATACATATATATGTGTGTGTGCATGTGTTTGTGTTTGTGTGTGTATATCTGCGTGTGTGCACGTGTGTGTGTTTTTGTGTGAGAGGGAGAGATATGAGTTTCTTAATTTGGTCTTAAAATACTTACGACATTGTGAGTTTGCAGTTTTAAAATATGTCGAATGGCGGATTTGACAGTTATATATATATATATATATATATATATATATATATATATATATATATAAAAGGAAACTACTTCAGGAAAAAATAAAACCAATCTGGAAATTACAAATAGGCTAAAATTTAGTTCGACATACGAATGGTTAAAGTAGCATAAATAGAATACACGAACCACGAGAAAGTCATAGAATACTGGTTACTAGACAGGCACTCAGTCAAAGAGACTCTAGGACATTAGGATTGGTTGGTGGATTTTGTTTATCCGTATATCAATCTGTATATGTTACTTTATGCCGAAATCTAAATATTTTGAACGTAATTTTATTCCTTTGTAGCAGGAAAAACACAATTTACAATTTAGAGATAACAAATGAAAGGCAAATTTATACAATTATTAGAAATGATATATATATCTAACTACACCATTTTTTTTGTCTAGCTAAGTCACACACACAGCACTCTACTCAAAACAAAGTTTAAAATAAACACAAATATTTCATGATGCTGGCCATTATCGACGCGACTCTCGTTTTCAACAGATATATGCAACTACGTCCGTGCATTTTCTTTATATAGGCTATAAGAGAAACCGGACAGCGGAGAGAGAAAGCAGAGGACAGAGAGAGAGAGACTTCAGGCACACAGGCTAACCATAGAAGATACCCGAGACCAGGGCTCACTGTCTGTCGGAGCATTAGTCTGGAAAACGGTCTCCTGTGAACAGTAAGATAACGGACTCCACTATCAATGCGACAATCCCGAACCGAGAGCCAGCAAGCAGTCACCCGGTTTAAGCACACTCCTTCAAGCTCTCATTTCACACCTCGCACACCGTATATTCGAAAGCTGCACTATACGATGTACAAGAGACATTTTCATATCTTGTAAATGAAAATAAATATTTGGTCATTCCTCCAAACCAGTGTCTAATTTGTTTCTTTACTCCAACCAACTTCCACCTCGGATCACTTTCAACTTCAAATAGTTTGTACGTAGTTTTATAGTTTCAGGTTAAACGCATGGTTTTTTTGTTTTGTTTTTTTTTTTTAATTTGTTGTTGACAAATATATGTTGGAGTAATGGATAGCGGCTCGGTTTTTGGAATCAGGGAGCCGAGTTAGAATTCCAGTCGAATCCATTACATTCATCTACGTGCTAATAATCTTGAGAAACTTATGAATCCTCAACTTCTCCCCTCAGCTAAGAATAAATAGCAGTGCAGACCGAGTTCTCTCGCCTTAGATAGCAACTGGTCTACCCCAGAAAGAAATGGCAACCTACTGCGGGAAAAAAATCTGCCTCATCAGACATGTATCAAAAGATACATGATCGCCTAAGCGTGTATCATGCATAACACATAACTGATTGCTAGTAATTTCACTACAAAAATGTATTGTTAGTAGTTTATTATAAAAATATATTATTATTAATTTCATGATTAAAATGGATTTTTTTATATTTTGTTAGTATTGTATTGATTGCAATTTTACTATAAAAATGAACTCTACACTATTTACATTATTCAGACTACTCTCCTCACCTTCCTTGTCATATTTATCACAACGTTTCGGCCGTTGTACGTTCCGGTCTTCTTCAGCTGATTGGAATGTCGAACTAAACACTTGATTTCGCTCACTGGTGTAGACTGTTCTAATGGATGTCAGTTATCTCCTGTTAATTCGCCTCTCCAAGTTCTCCACTGACTTAACCATGTATTGAACTCACAAATCTTTGGG